ATTAGTCATTAAGCGGCAATATATCGATGCTATTATTTCACCGGAGCACCGTAATTTTTAAGCTGTAGTCTAAAGCTATTTAGACATTTGCATTTTGGTTTCATTTAGATATTTGCAGTGAATTAGGTGTCTCAGTATGACAATAGTACTGCCACACTCATTAACACGAGTCTACATGCTTCTCTTACTCTTGGTACAATACCTGTTACCCTTGCAAGTTGTTCCTAGCTTTTGTTCCAATACGAGAGGATGCACCTAGTTGCTCCTAGTCTTTGGAACTATGTAGGAGGATGGCGCTAGTTGTTCCTAGTCTTTGGAACAATGTAGGAGGATGAAGCTAGTTGCTCCTAGTCTTTGGAACAATGCAGGATGATGGAACTAGTTCCTCCAATTTTTTGGAACAATGTAGGAGGATGGAGCTAGTTACCCCTAATCTTTGGTACAATGTAGGAGGATGGAGCTAGTTGCCCCTAGTCTTTGGTACAATGTAGGAGGATGGAGCTAGATCTAGTTGCACCTAATCTTTGGAACAATGTAGGAGGATGGAGCTAGTTGTTCCTAGTCTTTACAACAATGTACGAGGATGGAGCTAGTTGTTTTTAGTCTTTGGTACAATGTAGGAGGATAGAGCTAGGAATAGAACGAGAGTGAATTTATTAAACTCGAGGGGTCCCTTGGTAAAATCTTTTATAAAGATATGTTTTCATATATATATATATATATATATATATATATATATATATATATATATATATATATATATATATATATATATATATATATATATATATATATATATATATATATATGTATATATATATATATATATATATATATATATATATATATATATATATATATAAATATGTTTTCATATCCGGTGTAAAAGATGGGTTTTGTGAATATTTTGTGAATAAGGATTGAAGCCATTTTCCTACAATAGACATTAAGGTAACTGACAACAGTTTGACATTTCTGTGTACTGAATATATTAATAAAGTTACATATCATAAATCTCCTTCTAATGTCCTAAGACATTAATCCCCCCTCCTCACAGTGTTATGACCCAATACCTATTACCTCAGTCACGAACATAATGTTATGTAAATTCCAGCACTATATTCGTTGAATATTCACTTGTGTTAAATCTGAAAATAAAATTATTATCACTGAAAATCATATGACTTTTCTAAAGTATTATTTAGGCTTTTTGTTTTGTGTGTGATCCTGTGTCCTGTGTGGCAGCGAATATGAGCAGCATCCTCACTGTCCTGTGAGATAGTGAATAGGAGCATCATCCTCTATATTCTCTGTGGGTATGAATATGAGCAGCATTTTCGTTATCCAGTGTGACAGTGAATATGAGCATTTCAATAAAAGCTAATTGAATTGCTACGATTAGACAAAATGTTTATACAATTTTGTGTAATCGTAGCAATTCAATTAGCTTAACACCTTACACTTTCTTTATGCTTTCATGTTAATACAACTTATTGCAAAGTTTGAAACGGCTAACGTGTCGTTGACATATATTATGGAGATGAGAAAGTCCCGGACCTTCGTGGTTTACCCAGGACCATCTACTTGTGAAGTTGTCTCCCAGGTGTTCAGTCATAGGTGCGACATTCAACAACAACCGACTATTAAATCCACCCCAGAATAAATATGTCAAACTGTCCTCATCAACAAAGGCCAAATCCAGTCACAAAACAAACACTTTATATACGACTCATAATTGATGACGAATGCATTTTTCTCAACCCGTCCTCAGGCCGGGAACGTTAAAGTGGCTTGAGTGCCGTCCCCAAGATGCACTCATCAGTTTTATGGTACTGTGAATTAAAAAAAAGATTGTTTGTTCATCACGGTTCCTCATAGTTTGGGTACCTTCAGGATTGTCGTCTTTTTCGAGGAATTCCCTTTGTCCGTATGGGAATTTGCGCTGGAATTCCGTGTCGAGATACTCTTTCTTCATAATGGTGAGATCAGTGCAGCAGTTCGTGGTGTTGGCGTGGACATACATGCGATGCGGGAATTTGATGTCTTTCCTGGTGCTGATTATAGTCACATTTGTACGCCTGTTATCGTCTGGTGTTTTCCGGTTGCAACTGTTGACCTCGCTGGGCGGAATGTAGAGAACATAGTAAAATCTCTTGTCCTCTTTCTCGTCTCAGTCGTCAGTCGCAAGGTCATTCTCGTCGACGTCGGTGGTGGCTCGGGAGAGCCTGCTGGTGTCGATTTAGTGAGTTTCGAGTGGTCCGTCGTTGTCGTCGTTTTTGGATGTGATGTCTTGATGGGTGGATGAGACACCCATGATGGGTGACGTCCATGTTACCGGACTGGTTTTGGGACCCGCTACGGGGTCGGACGTCGGGCTGGCAGCAGCTCGGAGAAGGTCGCCGGGGACCGTCACCATCGGCAGTACATTTGCGGTGAGCAGCCAGTTGGTGTGGAAGTATTGGTTGACGTCGTTTCCCGCTAATTTGTCGTCGAGATGTAGACGTACCGGTAGCAGGGTGTTGTTGGTGGTAACTGCAGGCTTGGGTGGTGGTAGTGACGGCTGCGGAGGTGAGCTCGGCTGAGTGTGGCGTTCCCAGGGACCAGGAGGTGGTGAGGTAACGGCAGCTTCCCCAGGCGTGTTCCCAGGCAAGACCGGGAATGTAGACGTAGAAGGATTGGCAGGTCGAAGTGTGGCGGTGGCGGGAGAAGGCGTGGTGTGGCAGGTCGAGGTGCGATGGTGGCAGGTCGAGGTGTGGTGGTGGCAGGTCGCGGTGTGGTGGTGGCAGGTTGAGGTGTGGTGGTGGCAGGTCGAGGTTTGATGTGGTAGGTCGAGGTGTGGTGGTGGCAGGTCGAGGTGTGGTGGTGGCAGGTCGAGGTGTGAAGTGGTAGGTCGAGGTGTGGTGGTGGCAGGTCGAGGTGTGATGTGGTAGGTCGAGGTGTGGTGGTGGCAGGTCGAGGTGTGGTGGTGGCAGGTCGAGGTGTGGTGGTGGCAGGTCGAGGTGTGGTAGTGGCAGGTCCTGGTGTGGTGGTGGCAGGTCGTGGTGTGGTGGTGGCAGGTCAAGGTGTGGTGTGGCAGGTTGAAGTGTGTGGTTGGCAGGTCGAGGGGTGGTTGTGGCAGGACGCGGTGTGGTGGTGGCAGGTCGAGGTGTGGGAATAGCAGGTCGTGGTGTGGTGGTGACAGGACGCGGTGTGGTGGTGGCAGGTCGAGGTGTGATGGTGGCAGGTCGAGGTGTGGTGGTGGCAGGTCGAGGTGTGGTAGTGGCAGGTTGAGGTGTGGTGGTGGCAGGACGCGGTGTGGTGGTGACAGGTCGAGGTTTGGTGGTGACAGGTCGAGGTATGGTGGTGGCAGGTCGAGGTGTGGTGGTGGCAGGACGAGGTGTGGTGGTGGCAGGTCGAGGTGAGGTGGTGGCAGGTCGAGGTGTGGTGGTGGCAGGTCGAGGTGTGGTAGTGGCAGGTCGAGGTGTGGTGGTGGCAGGACGCGGTGTGGTGGTGACAGGTCGAGGTGTGGTGGTGGCAGGTCGAGGTGTGGTGGTGGCAGGTCGAGGTGTGGTGGTGGCAGGTCGAGGTTTGATGGTGGCAGGTCGAGGTGTGGTGGTGGCAGGTCGAGGTGTGGTGGTGGCAGGTCGCGGTTTGATGGTGGCAGGTCGATGTGTGGTGGTGGCAGGTCGAGGTGTGGTGGTGGCAGGTCGAGGTGTGGTGGTAGGAGGTCGAAGTGTGGTGATGGCAGGTCGAGGTGTGGTGGTAGCAGGTCGAGGTGTGGTGGTGGCAGGTCGAGGTGTGGTGGTGGCAGGTAGAGGTGTGGTGGTGGCAGGTCGAGGTGTGGTGATGGCAGGTAGAGGTGTGGTGGTGGCAGGTCGAGGTGTGGTGATGGCAGGTCGTGGTGTGGTGGTGGCAGGTCGAGGTGTGGTGGTGGCAGGTCGAGGTGTGGTGATGGCAGGTCGTGGTGTGGTGGTGGCAGGTCGAGGTGTGGTGGTGGCAGGTCGAGGTGTGGTGATGGCAGGTCGTAGTGTGGTGGTGGCAAGTTGAGGTGTGGTGGTGGCAGGTCGAGGTGTGGCGGTGGCAGGTCGTGGTGTGGTGGTGGCAGGTAGAGGTGTGGTGGTGGCAGGTCGAGGTGTGGTGGTGGCAGGTCGAGGTGTGGTGATGGCAGGTCGTGGTGTGGTGGTGGCAGGTTGAGGTGTGGTGGTGGCAGGTCGAGGTGTGGTGATGGCAGGTCGTAGTGTGGTGGTGGCAGGTTGAGGTGTGGTGGTGGCAGGTCAAAGTGTGGTGATTAACAGGTCGCGGTGTGGTGGTGGCAGGTTGAAGTGTATGGCTGGCAGGTCGAGGTGTAGTGGTGGCAGGTCAAAGTGTGGTGATTAACAGGTCGCGGTGTGGTGGTCGCAGGTTGAAGTGTGTGGTTGGCAGGTCGAGGTGTGGTGGTGGCAGGTCGAGGTGTGGGAATAGCAGGTCGAGGTGTGGTGGCGGCAGGTCGAGGTGTGGGAATGGCAGGTCAAGGTGTGGGAATAGCAGGTCGAGGTGTGGTGATGGCAGGTCGTAGTGTGGTGGTGACAGGTCGAGGTGTGGTGGTGACAGGACACGGTGTGGTGGTGGCAGGTCGAGGTGTGGGAATAGCAGGTCGAGGTGTGGTGGTGACAGGTCGAGGTGTGGTGGTAGCAGGTCGAGGTGTGGTGGTGGCAGGTCGAGGTGTGGTGGTAGCAGGTCGAGGTGTGGTAGTGGCAGGTCGAGGTGTGGTGGTGGCAGGTCGCGGTTTGATGGTGGCAGGTCGAGGTGTGGTGGTGGCAGGTCGAGGTGTGGTGGTGGCAGGTCGAGGTGTGGGAATAGCAGGTCGAGGTGTGGTGGTGGCAGGTCGAGGTGTGGAAAAGGCAGGTCGCGGTATGGTGGTGGCAGGTCGAGGTGTGGTGGTGGCAGGTCGAGGTGTGGTGGTGGCAGGTCGAGGTGTGGTGGTGGCAGGTCGAGGTGTGGTGGTGGCAGGTCGAGGTGTGGTGGTGGCAGGTCGCGGTTTGATGGTGGCAGGTCGAGGTGTGGTGGTGGCAGGTCGAGGTGTGGTGGTGGCAGGTCGAGGTGTGGTGGGGACAGGTCGAGGTATGGAAAAGGCAGGTCGCGGTATGGTGGTGGCAGGTCGAGGTGTGGTGGTGGCAGGTCGCGGTTTGATGGTGGCAGGTCGAGGTGTGGTGGTGGCAGGTCGAGGTGTGGTGGTGGCAGGTCGAGGTGTGGGAATAGCAGGTCGAGGTGTGGTGGTGGCAGGTCGAGGAGTGGTGGTAGCAGGTCGAGGTGTGGGAATAGCAGGTCGAGGAGTGGTGGTAGCAGGTCGAGGTGTGGGAATAGCAGGTCGAGGTGTGGTGGTGGCTGGTCAAGGTGTGTGAATGGCAGGTCAAGGTGCGGTGGTGGCAGGTCGACGTGTGGTGATGGCAGGTCGTGGTGTGGTGGTGGCAGGTCGAGGTGTGGTGGTGGCAGGTCGAGGTATGGTGATGGCAGGTCGTAGTGTGGTGGTGGCAGGTCGAGGTGTGGTGATGGCAGGTCGTAGTGTGGTGGTGGCAGGTCGTAGTGTGGTGGTGGCAGGTCGAGGTGTGGTGGTGGCAGAGGTTTCCGTCGTCTAGTTGATCACTTACTTCCTGCGAGGGCAGTCAGGGAAGACAGCAATAGTTTGGTCGTTGCAGAAGAGGCACTATAGGTGGGAGGCAGTGCAGGCAGTGTAGTGGTGGTCCTCAGCGCATGTGCTACATTTTGGTGCGCGGAAAGTGCACTTGCCGGTGTAGTGAAAGTTCTGGTAACACCTGAAGCATTGCTTCAGCTCCAAGTATCTTACCGTCTTTACTATGTCGGGTGGTGTGGTGATTCCGAAACGTCAGAATGTGCTGGTTGTGATGTGGTCGGCCGCGGCGACCGTGAATTTATATAGAATTTATATTTACGTTAAGTTATATATGTCGATAGCAATTTGTATGATGTTAAGTGGACTGTATTTCTGCAATAATCTCACAAATCGATCCACTACACATTGGGGGGGGGGGGGATAATATTGCATTTATATATATGCAGCAAATCAAATTACAGTATTAAACTACATATATAAGTATACATTGCGGAGGTTCCTTATCTTATTGTACAGCAGGCCTTAGTCCACCAGGTATAACTAGGATGTAGACATCAAATTATCCTTGTGAGACAGCTTCCATCACCCAGTAACTGATGCACAAAGCTTGCTTCCTCTTCTTGACCTGTCAAAAGGGCGCTAGCTAAAAGCCAGAAACCTAATATATGACAGCTATATCAGAGAAAACACTGTACAATAGATCATAAAGACCAAGGCTTAATTACCTTTTTTGAGTCGATCATTTGTGCTCTCACTGGTTCGCCCAAAATATCTACCTAACATTAATGGCCAAAAATGATTAGATAAACGGGTTTCGGAAAGACACCTCCCTTGTATTTGTTGACAGCGTGTTCATGGAAGACCACTACTCTGATCTTCGTCACACTTCGTCCAAGAGAATTTATATAGGAGCCGAATTTGCCCCACGACTCTGTGGTCTAAAACAACAATGGCTGACCACTCCCTCCTCACTTTGTAGAGATGACAGTAACTGATAGAATGGTCACATTTACTCTATTTTAATATTGATAATTAAGTTAATTTATATGAGATGTTTTTATGATGGTAAAGTCCAAAGACTAATGTATTTAAGAATAATTCCTACCGTAATAGGTGGTGAATTTATAATAGTATGTGGCAATGATATCCCTTTTTCTATAGACGGAAAATTCCACTACAAGTTACATTTTCTATGGGTTAACTTGTTTATACAATGGCAGCAATATTATCTGCCATTGCATTGATATTAGTAATTGGTGTCAGATGTTCCGACATAATTCCCCCGGGGGCTGCTCACGGGTCGCAGTCCTATTTAGAACAGACGAACACCAATACTCCTCCTTCGAATTATTTGATTAATTTGATGTTAGTAGTTAGTAATCACACATTTGTGCGTCTGTTCGTACAGGATGGATGTCCCGTACTCGAGTTGCAGGGGTTAGAAGTCTAATGCGATTTCATTTCCCTGTTAACTCCTGAAAGGCAAAAATTCAAGCCTAAATACATATTTTTTAACCCAGAAGACTGAATGTGATCAAGTACTACAGTCAAGTATGATTCAGGGACTGCAGTGAGATCAGTGACATTAGATATAACTTGAAGCTTGTTCAGGAAACAGGTTACTGATATATAAACACTGAGGCCCATCGAATACATCTTGATTAAATAATAAATGTATCAAAATCAGTCATCAGATTTATTGGGGTTTAATTTAGTTAGTTGATTCAGAGGATTGAATAGCCCATCATTAAAGTCAAGTATGGTTCTGAGACTGCAGTGGGTTCAGTGACATTGGTCGCAGTGACTTGTAGCTGTTTAGGCTACTGTTCACTGATTTGCCACTGAAGCCTCATGAACTCATCTTTAGCTTTAAAATGATGAAATTAACATCAACCTCTGTTACTATAGTCAGCTGTAATCTCCTTAGTATAATGCTACTGGAGAAATATAATCAGCTGACAAATTTAGATTTCTACTGGTATTATTTATCTGCAGCCATAGGTCTCCTTAGGCTTGATACTGGGCCTGAGAGTAATTTACCTCCTGCAGAATTTAACATGGTTATGCCCTGATATTTAGTAGGACTACCGATGAATCGATGGCAATAGTCTGTCCCTACAAGGAGACCGAAGTCGGTGAGGTGATCAGACTTAATATTATCTGCCAATTTTATTCCTCTATTTCTCAGGAATTTGGCTGTTGCTCTCAGACCTTGAACTTGTAGGTCTACTGGTATTTTTCCACCACAATGGCTTGTACTCGACAGAAGTACCTGCCTAAACGTACTGATGGTTTTACCACTTGGTAGACTTGAGGTCCTGCATCTGTTACAAACCCTGAGATATTGAATGACGTCTGGGCTACAGGCCGTAATTGTAGTTCATCTGCCAACTTTTTAGTGACATATGTTCTCTGGGACCCTTGGTCAAACAACCCACGGGTATTGACCTTGGCCCTCTTATTCAGGATGGTAATTTGGGCAGTAGGCAAAGTCGTATTACCTTTAGACTTTGCTGATTGGTCACTCGTTGTTTGTTGCACCTTGTAGTACTGTACTGTGGTGGGAATGCTATCTTCCACCTTGGGTCTTGAATACGTTAATTTCGTATATTTGCACAGTGCTGCATGGTGCCTACCTCTTCTATACCTGTTGCAGGTGTTGAATTGGGTTTCACAATAGTCTATGTTGTGTGTCTTGAGACACCTTGCACATCTCCCTAATTCCTGGAGTCGCTCAATACGAGTGTCTCTGGTTGGATAATTAGCACAACTATATGTTGAATGTTTCGTTTTGCAGAACATACATGTCCCCCAGCCTACTGCACGTTTGGAAGTTACCGGTTTGGGTGAACTAGTAACAGTAGGCTTGGAAGATTCTGCTGCATTTTCAGATTTTCTCCAACTAGATGTGAGAGTACTTGGCTGATGTTTATTTGGGGTAGTTGTCTTACCCTTTAATTGACTATTATTTTCTATTTCTGAAGGCTTGCATGAGGCTTTAACTTCCTCATTTGCTTGTCGTTTGTTTATGATGGAATATAAACCTTCAGTGATGTCCTGTAATGTCAGGATGGTGTTATGTTCTTGTGCATATAATTTATCTAGTATATCGCTGGACAATTTTAGTTGAAGGACTACTTTGGTCATCCATTCACTAGTAGTTATATCAACCTTAAGACTGAATGTTCTTAGTAGTGACTCAAACTCCATGCTGAAGGATTGTAATGAGTCAGCAGTCTGATCAGGTTGAGGTAAATCCAGCAGTTGTAGTACTAGATGTATGACAGTTTTCTCATTGCCAGCATTATTCCTAGGATGCTGGACTGGGAAATTAGCTGTCACTGGAAACTGGAAAAATTACCCTCCTCTCCCACTTACGACTTCCTGTAGGGGAGCTAATGGACGTCCAGGCCTTCCTCTCAGGTATGGGGGTTCTCCTCTCCCTCCCCCTCCCCAAACAACATATCCACTATGTTTTATCCCCTCTCATCCTCTACTCACAATCATCAAACTATTATCATCATCACACAGGATTAAGTCTATGACAAACACACATATTCATTTACTCCTTCCTCATATTCCACTCTTATCCTTGTATTTTCATACGTCTTCCCAGAAATTCCCACATCTTCCCAGAAATTCCCTGTGTCTAGAGCGAGGGGCTGCACCTGCTCACCCACCACTCAAGACCGCGTCCGACACGCGCCAAACTTCCGGGAAATTCCCCTCCCAAACCCTCTGCGACGACGACGACGCGCACCACCTGGCATCCAACAACATAACTTACTCTCTTTCCTGACCACATACCCAAACACCGTCCGCTCACACGCGTCCGAAACACGCCAAACTTCCGGGAAAATCCCCCAATACCCTTGCGACTAGACACCCGCGCGCCACCTGTCGGGTGGCACTCACCTGAGTGCCATCTGGCAGGTGGTGCGCACGGTTCTAGTCGTATATTTCACTACTACATGTTAAATGAAACTACGTTAAATGAAAATAGCTGTCGCTATTTTCATTTACATTTTCTACTTCTGGATCAGCTTCACCTCTAATTTCAGTTTGGAGGCATGTTTACTTAGTAGCCTCAGGTATTGGATTTTCAGAATCCACAGAGACTGTGGATAAATTGTCTGAGAACTGCTTAATTTCTGGTGGAATAATATTGGGTGAAGCTGTAGTGGGTGAAGCTTTATCCTTGTTGATTAAAGGATCTAATCTGGCTTGACATTTATTCTCAAAAAGATCCAGATCATCCATAACATTATCTACTTTATTTGATGTACTGGCTAATTGTTCTGATTCAATTATCCTGTGTAAATGTTCCAACCTGGCTTGAGTTTCTTCATATTGTGCTAGGTCAGACAGGAATGGTTCCACATCTTCAACTACTCTGTCGTCGTCGTCGTGGACTTGATTTTGGTAAGATTTCCTATTTGCTTTCAATACATGCAATTGGGTTTGAATCTGTAATAGTGGTATTTTCAACCGACGATAATTAATTACAGGCTCATATAACAACTGTTCATATTGGTCAAGATTTCTTGTCAGTTGACGTTTGCTTGCTACTAAAGCACGCTTTGCTTTTTGTGGATTAGTCATGGTGACTTGTTAATTGGGCATCACTGGCTCATAAATTGTGAGCAAGTACTGATGGTAGCCTAGGGTAAAATTCTGCAATCACTAGGCGATAATTCTACCTCTACTACAGGTTAGCACTTAAAATTAATACACATTATATATATACAATCATACACACTAATGATTTGA